GGCCGAAAGGCCACAAAATAGTAGTAAACATTGTAAATGACGCCGACCGAAAGTTGGTACTACAGTTGAAAATATAGAATAAACAAGAAAAAAAATTTGATTTTAGAAATTTTCCTGTTACGTGTGCACTTTTCAATTGAGTATTAGGAATAATTTGTGAAAACTCACACTTTGTTTCAGATAAGCTTCGATTCAACACCATTTCAGAACTGACTCACTGATTTGGATAACTGCAACGGCAACTAGACAAGTAGCACAGCGATTGTTGAATGGATGCAATGAGAGAGAAGTGATGATGAAAAGAGTATGCGCCGGGCGACTTTCAGCCCACTGAGCTTCTGCGCGAACGCCTTAATAAATATGTAATTATATTGCTTACTGTTTGACTTTACTTATAGTTTTTAGAATTAATTGGATAAGAACTCTATAAATATGGTCATAAAATAACTACTACTATGTAGCTACATTAGACTGCATCACTCCCCATACAAAGAAAAATAAAAATCGGTACTCCAATGGTATTATAAAATCTATTATATTCTAAGACGTCCACCAAAATATTTCGGAAAAATATTAAGATTTACGTGAGCTGAACCGATTTGAAAATACCTCCAAAAATGGAGTTTTTTATGAATAAAAGTAGTTTCTTGAACAAAACGGTTTAAGCCTAAAAAATTTGCACAAATACAGTTCAGAAATAAAAAACTTTTAAACCCCCTTCGATTGATACCCATATTTTATTAATTCACTTAACTTATAAATATAATTTTAATTTTAATTTTGAAACAGGTGGCAACCCTCTTTTAACACCGCGAAAAATATTATTAGCGTTTAGACCAAAGATTTCTTAAGACTCCTTCCTTTGACATACATATTGCGATATTTCGTATAACTTGTGTATAAGAAAACTAAATTCGACATTTCAAACAGGTGGTAGCCCTGTTCAAAATATTTTCAAACTACTACTTTCTGAAACTCCTTTCCTGCGTCACCCATATTGTGATACATATTTCTCTTGCCTAATATGATCTTTTTAACAAGTGGCAACCCTCCTATGGCTCAGCTAAGATCCAAAGCTGGGAAGCGCTGGGTGCTCAAAACAAAGTTCCGCAAATAGCTGATGTCCACTCCGAAGAGTTTTTCGGGAGTGTTGCTGAAATGCGCACCGATGTGTTTAAAAATTAGTTTAGCGAATGTCGGGCAGCTGAGAGGGAAGTGCCAAGATGATTCCACCTCGTCTTCCAAACAGCTGCCGCAGTAGAGATCTGTGACGATATTCAGTCGCACCGCAAGGGTTCCTAAAAGACAACGTCTGGTCAGTATACCTGTAAGAATCTAGAGCTAGCGCTTAGCTCACCGCAGGAGCTCTCTTGCCCCCTTGCGGTCAACAACCGACCAGAAGGACCTTGAAAGCCAAGCTTGCACCCAGGAGACTTCAGCCGGCAGGTTGCCAACAGAACTCCTATGCCTTCCCTAAGCGAGTTGATGGCCTCGAGGGTGCCCTGCCTACCTAATTCACCAGCCCAGCTTCTATTGGTTTTATAATAGCAGAACGTAAAGTTGATGCTAGTCACAAAACATTACATTAACTAGTGAATCATTTTCATTCATTTTTTTAATTAAGATAAAAAATCTAACCAATTTTAAATTAGAATGGCCTTATTTCGAAAGAATTAAATATGTATATTTAGGACAGTGCCAAACAATTTTCCTAAGCCACTTTATGCACAGATTGTGTATACATATATGTACAAATATCTTTGGTGAGATTTTTTTCAGCGGATGTTTTCACGACTTAATTACATCGGAGACGAACATTACTTGCGCATTCTAGATTACTTAGTGTAAACAAATAAATTGTTTGTATAATTCTATCTGCGCATTTTATACTATTTGCATTGCTATTATTTATTTGTAAATAGCAAACAAACTCCCGTTGCCTGACATTGATTTATTTTTTGTGTTAGATAAAGTTTAGCATCTGAGTGTGTATTTCCCCAAACGTCACTAATACGAGGTGGTCCAAATGCTGTCATGCTTATTATAATGAAATATCAGCTCTGATCCAATACTGTGCATGTAAAATCCTGTAAAAATGTCAAACAGCAAAATTACTCTCTGAAGTGAGAGTAAAAAAGTGAGCAATAAGAAAAAGTACGGAAACAAAAAAAAAAACATTTTTTCCTGTAAAAACGTCAACCAGTGATGGCTATACACTTTTCATGATTTTACCAGAAGAAAAAGTTCTCCAAAATACGCTCCCATTTACTGGATTTTGCAGGAACTTGGAGTACGGGATCATTTTTCCTGTAACTTCCTGCAAGTTCGTGTAAATACCTGTAAGTTTATAGAGTACTGGATCAGAGCTATCATCTCAAAGAATCATATACTGGATGCTTTAGGTATTCTAGTGCATTAAGGACTTTTTGAACGTGAATTCGTATATTTCTTAGAACATCTATTGTAAGTATTTCATAGAAATTTTTATAGTCGAGTAAGTGCACTCAGAAAAAAGCATTTCCTTAAAACAAGAAACCAGTTTCCTCATTTTAGATGAAAATTTACCCCAAAACAAGCCAATATTTACCATTGTTTCTAGGACAGAAACCGAATTGGTTAATTGCAAAAATTAATCTGTCGAAAGGCTTGGAATTTTGTCTTTGAAAGGCAACACCTTTCTTTGAAATCGCTTCATTATTTCTCGTGCAATGAGCGTTTTCGTGAAGCTCTAAAAGTTACAACTATATACAACATTTGAGCATAGCCTCCATATCGAAACGTAAGACGTACATATGTCCTTAGAAGCAAGGAAACAGTAGACAGGGCGGTCAAGGGTAAGCGGCTGCATATATACTGGGTTCCAGGCCACAAGGGCATTATGGGAAACGAAATAGCTGATGAGATTGCCAAAAGTGCCATCCGTCTTGCTAGAGAACCACTACAGGAAATACAAAAGTCGCTAAAAACGATCTACAATGAAATTTCCGTAAGAGCTGCGCCCCGGATCAGGGCGAGACGGAACGCATTACCGACATGCAAAACCGCCAAGATCATGTATAATAGCAGNGGAAACGAAATAGCTGATGAGATTGCCAAAAGTGCCATCCGTCTTGCTAGAGAACCACTACAGGAAATACAAAAGTCACTAAAACCGATCTACAATGAAATTTCCGAAAGAGCTGCGCGCCGGATCAGGGCGAGACGGAACGCATTAGGGACATGCAAAACCACCAAGATCATGTATAATAGCAACAAAGGAAACATTCATTTCTTGCTTACACGGTCACGTACGAATTGCAGGACAGTTGTTGGCCTAATGACGGGCCACAACCTACTGGCATCCCATGCAAGCAGAATGGGCATTAGTAGAACACCTCTNCACGTACGAATTGCAGGACAGTTGTTGGCCTAATGACGGGCCACAACCTACTGGCATCCCATGCAAGCAGGATGGGCATTAGTAGCAGTGTCGCATGCAGGAATGGCAGGGAGGAAGGCTTGAGTGAGACGTTCGAACACCTCTTCTCTTTCTGTCCGGCCTTAGCTAGAACTCGTCTTAGATATCTCGGAGCTTCGCAGTTCAAAGGACTCGAGGAGGCTTCAAAACTGGATATTAAAGCTCTCTTGAACTTCGCAAAAAGCGTTGACGTCCTATACGATGACTACTTTAGATCGCAATGAAACGGACCTCTCTATCTGGCACTACAAACGCGCATCAGCCGGCCAGTGTAACCTAACCTATCACGGAAGTCCTCTATTAAAAAAACAAAACTGTTAGCGCAATTCAATGTAAAACTAAACTTTTCAGAAAACAAAATTTCCAAAAAGTAATATAACCCTCATTAGTCCCTTAAATTACAAACTAAATTTGTCGTTGGGGCCTATTTTGACCCTGCGAGAGTTAACGGTTTTTTGGATTAAAAAAACTGTACGGAGTTGATCCATTGATAATTGTTTGCCATCTGTTTTCTTCACGTTTAACACAAATTTTAAGTTTATTGTGGTGGACTTTGCATAGAATTTCGTAGNATTAGTCCCTTAAATTACAAACTAAATTTGTCGTTGGGGCCTATTTTGACACTGCGAGAGTTAACGGTTTTTTGGATTAAAAAACTGTACGGAGTTGATCCATTGATAATTGTTTGCCATCTGTTTTCTTAACGTTTAACACAAATTTTAAGTTTATTGTGGTGGACTTTGCATAGAATTTCGTGACACCTTCACTTTTTGTGGATTTTTTGTTTGCTTTAATATCATACTGACATAAGAATCATCGTCCACGTTTATGATCCTTGCGACCACTTGGTAACAATTGCCAAAGAAAATTTCAATTAAAACAGACATAAAATTCCATCGAAAACAAAATCTAAATTTTTTAGTAGAAGAATTGAATTGAATTGATTGATCGGACACAAAACAAGTGAGCAAATCGGATTAAAAACTTAAAAATAATAATAATAACTTAAAAATGAGGGTTAAATGATTTGCCAAAAAATTNAATTGAATTGATTGATCGGACACAAAACAAGTGAGCAAATCGGATTAAAACTTAAAAATAATAATAATAACTTAAAAATGAGGGTTAAATGGTTTGCCAAAAAATGTAACTTAAATGACAAATTAACCATTTTGTTGCCGAGAAAATTCTGGATATTACTCACTGTGGTACAAAGTGTTGATTCATGTAAACTCATTTAAACATACTTGAATTTTATGAAAAAAAAAATAAGCAAACCAAGCGTAACCTTCCAGGGTTAAAAATAAGAGCTAATGTATGGACATAATGCATATTAAAATTCAGGCGAACATTTGTAAATGAAAACAGAATTAATATACCTCTTAAGTTGTGTAAGCATTTATTTTAATTCATACCATGTATGTTTATTTTAAAGCTTAATTCTAGTATATGGAACCTATCAAAATATGGTCTCGTCGATTGCCCAGCATACTCCCATTATTTTTTCACCCCATACACATATCATATTTAATTAAGTTAAATTTCATTCCACATCCCTTTTCATATTAATTGTCTCAAATTTAATATGATCTCGCGGATCCCTTTGCATTCTGGGATAGTTCCACGATTGAATCTCGGTTTTGCCGAACAAAAGAAATAATAGATTGCCAATAAATTGTAGACTGCCTGCAATATAGAATATCACACGCCACTGGCTCACATCTTTCTGCAATATAAAATTAAAAAAATTTATAGCAACAAAGATTAGTCTATAATGTGCGACGCATTTTTCATGTATGTCTACATACCGCATCTGTAACGATGAAGCCCACAGTTAGTGGTGCCAGCAAACTCATAATAGTGGCTGCAAACCCACCCACGCCCATCAATATGCCACCAAAATTTGGCGATAGATCAATGTGATTGGTGAGGAAACCTAAAGAGCCTGCCGCGGTCGCACCAACAGCTATAACTAGCAAGCCAAGCGCCAATTGACTTTGCTCGGCGCGCATATAGCCGAGTAAGATGAGCGGTGCTACCGGCACCCAGAAGGCGATAGTGTTGAACAGCTTTCGACTAGCGTTTACACTGGTGTAACCACGTTTCATAAGGAAATTGGCCAGAGCACAAAAGACAACAGTTAAGCACATATTAGCGAAATATGGCACTGCAGACATTAGCGCATTGCTCTTGATATCCTGTCCCAGAATGCTATTCATATAGGATGGAATTTGTGTGAGAAGTGTATAAAAGCCCCAAGCGGAGGTGCTCTGCGCTACCAATAGCACCCAAAATGGCACACTTGTGAGTATCTTAATCCATGGTGTTTTCAGAGGTGCTGCCCCATGCGGCGACTTAGCGGAAGTACCCAAAGACGACTCGATCATCAATTTTTCTTCCACCGATATCCATTTACAATGGCTGGGTGAACGAGCGCCTAAAAAGTACCATACCAGAGCCCAAAGCAGGCTGACCATGCCGGAGCAATAGAATATGCCTGGCCAGCCAAATGAAGATGCAGCAATCCAACCGCTTACCAACATCATTACAACGGTACCGAACGAGAGGCCAGTGTAGCAAAATGTTCCAAGTGTGCCACGCTCTTCGGGTGGCACCCATTTGGAAAGCAGTGTATGTATTGAAGAGAATATGCAACCCTGTATGAGACCTTGTGTCATGCGGAGTGCAAATAGCAATTTCCAATCACCAATACGAACGCTGAGTGGTATGAGTAGAGTCAGTACTGCGCTGAGGGATATGCTACCAAACAGCATCACTTTTCCGCCAAATCGGTGCGCCAACTGACTGCCGGGTATTTGTGTAACGAAGTAGCCCCAAAAGAAGGCGCTGAGCAAATAGGATTTTGTCTTCTCCGACCACTGGTATTCCTATGGGAGAGACAAGAAATTTGAAGGCAATAATGGTAGGATGTAAGAGATATTTATATCATGTAGGTATGTAAGCGGTTGCCTTACATTATCAT